GTCCATAAATTTTTTCTTGATCGGCTTGATTGCAGCTAAAAAGACAGAATTGGTGACCATTGACAAAGCCTAAGTGTGGATGTTACAAGTAGTCAGTTTGGCTGATGTTTGTGATAGGTTGAACAAGAGAAAAACCCACCTGATCAAGTGCATCAACAAGACATTGGTAGCTTGGAATTGCATCAACAATAGTAGGTGATTTAGATGCTGAGAGTAGGAGAGTGGCCTCCTCTAAGGGTTGTAAGAACTTAGTAAACAATTCCAACAAGTCCCACTTGGATGGACAGATCACATATTGACTATAGTCTTCATTGGTAGTCAGCATGTTGATTGGTTTCTTCAGCTTGATTGCTTGCTTGAGACAACCTAAATTGGAGTGCCACCGTGTTTTGACAGGTCGTATGAATCCTTTGTTCAAACCGCACGACTCGGCCAACTTCATGAAAGACTGGGGACGTCAAGGTGACTTGTAAATATAAAAAATCAGTGTATAAAGCCTCTTGAGGGCACTGTTTCCAGACTGTGTTGCAGTAGCATTTTCAAGCCAACCATCCAGATTGATTGCTTCTGAACTAGCATTGCTCTCTCGCCCAAAACCTTACTGAACATCTTGATTCCAGCTTGAGCGGCTAGATTCACAACATGAGCCATGCAACCCAGGAGTTGAGATTTGGCGTCAAAGTTAGGAATGTGTGGTTGAAGAAGTCGTGCAATGCTGGCTTGCAGCGCTGCTAGCCGTAGATTGGGCAGCGCAACGGAAACCAAGACTACTCAAGGCCAGTACCTTTTAGGTCAGCTGTGAGATGGGCGCGAGCAAAAAAAGAAGCTGAAAACGGAACTTTTCTTGCGCTGAGCTTTGCAGCGCTGCAGGCAAAAAAGAAGTGTTTTTTTTGAAAGAGAAAAAAAATATTGGAGGTAAAGACATCAACAAGAGTGGAGAAAGAGTGAACAAACATTAGAGTTGTAAAGTTTTTTAAATGAGTGTAAAGAAAATGAAAAGCAATCAAAAAGGGATGAAAGTAAAAAAATTAAAGTAAAAAAATCAAGGTAAAAAAAGTCAAGATGATTTCAAAGTGAGGTTTTCTAAGTTTCTTTTTATCTGCCTTCTTTCCAAACTCCAGCACCTGCCCTATGTCAGCAAAATCCCAGTGAGAAGTATGCCTTCATTGGTCCATATTTTACAGCTGGGGTTGGATGTCAAGATAAGATTCGTCCACTTCAGACCAAGTACTGGTTTTTGTTGTTGGCTCACAGGTAAGCTGGCTTTTCTTGATTGTTTGGCCCAGACGGCTTGTGCTCCTGACTTAATCGACTCATAGCTTTCCCGTTCTTCTCTTTTGTAACGTGTGTTCTCATCTCGGACACATTTGTAGGATTGGGAACGTTTAGAAGAAGCACACCAAGAGCTACATATGATTCTCAGTGATTGCAACATGAAAGACTGTCTATTGCTTGTTTTTGCTAACAAACAGGACTTGCCAGGAGGTATGTAGTAAACTCACATCTGTCAGACCCTATGGATCATTTCATCGAACACATGCTCTCATTCTATTGATTTTTTTCAGCTATGTCACCAACAGAGGTCACTGATTCAGGGCTCCATCGGATTATGGGCCTCATAGCCCGACTATAAGAAAGAGGTGATGGTAGATTTCTTGTTAGACATGATCTAATGTAGGATTCAATTGAAGGTGATGGTGTGGTTTAGTGAATTGGATATGATTGAAAAGTAAGGAAATGAAATATAAGATCAACAATTCAGATTGAGAGTCAATGAGATTGAACAATAGGAGGAAGTGCTTACCTTGAAAACATAAACCAATTGTTTAGTCCACGTTTGTGAGTGTACAAGCAGACACAAAAAGTTTACGTCACCCCGGGCCCCAACCAGCTTGATTCTGCAGTACACCTCTCGGGTTAGTGAACTGGTTGGGCCCAGGGGGTGACGTAAACTTTTTGCGTCTGCTTGTGCAATGAGAGTGAGGTTGAAGTTGAGAGGTAGGATTGTCAAGATCCTACCACACGGAATGTCCATGTATCAAGATAGATTGAGATACCTGGAAAAATGGTGTTGAGCAAGAATTCCAAATGGCTGGCTTTGATTGAAAAGTTGAAGGTGATTAAAGGCTTGATGGTGGCTGGAAGTAGTGGTGGATGTGGTTGATGGAGTGGTATAGGGTCCTAGAGGACTGACAGTAGGTTAGCGTGCGGCTGATAACCTCAGCGGAAAGCGCAGCACCCCAAATTTGGGCTCCACCAATGTCAGCTGAAGACGCAGCACCCCGGGGTCAAGTTTCCCGGCCAACAGAGCGGCTACGCCCGGAGTTGCGTTCCGGCGCGCTGTGCGCTTTCCTCTGCGCTGCGAGCCAGGATTGAGTCGTGCCATAGCAGAATTAGTGCTGGCATTATCGGCTGTAAAAGTGAAAACCTTGTCTAATATGTTGAAGTTGTTGAGTGTCTTTAAGAGAAGCTTGACCAAGTTTTCAGCTGAATGATCACCCTCAATCTCTTTCACAGCTAATACTATCTCTTGAATCTGAAACTTGTGGTCAATCCAGTGAACTGTGATGCCGAGAATTGATTTTCAAGAGGGTGCAGACCATCCATCAAAAGTCAGAGATACATGGGGAACTTCTTTCAAGATGTCAATGATCTGGAGCAAGAGGGGTCAAAACTGAGACTTGATGTATTCAGCTTGCCTAACAGAGCTATAGTGAAGATGGATGGCTTCCCAATTTACTAAGTCAAGAAGGATGCGGAACTCTGCAGTCTCTACCATTAAAAGTGGGAGTTCTTGCATGACAATGAGGCGGATGACTGCTACTTTGAAGGTCGAAGCATTCAGCTTATGAACCTACAAGGAAGAGACAAATGTAAATCCAAAAATCAATCAGTCACCCAACAAGAAACAGGTGCACAAAAAGGGAAAAAGTAAGAAGCTAACTGCATCAACACGGCCCTCCTTTGCATACTTGTCCATATCAATCGCGGATTCTTCTCTGACAGATTTTGATGTGATATCATTTTTTTGGTCTAGATCTCTACTCATTGATTTTGTTGATGCTGTCTTATCTGGTGCGAGTCAAGAAAGGCACTGATAATTGCTTCCTGGTTTGACTTTGGCATGACAGACCAGCACATTGTTGCCGTTGATTGTTTCCTCTGTAAAATAATTCCAGACCCAAGGTCTTTGAACCGGACTTTTTCTGAGCATTTGGCTGGGAAGGTTTCGACATAGGTTGAGGTTGGGGATCCTTCTCCGGTTGCCATTCCAAGTCAGAATCCTCTTCAGAGTCAATAACAATGGGTTTTCTTGTTGGCTTTTGGTGTTAAAGATTTTCAAGGGCGTCTGAGGGTCAACGGTGAGAGGGTCATCTTGAAAGCAAGTGAAATAGGCTCAGAAAGGGAGGTGGAAGGGTGTAGAATTGCACAAGAGATTCATAAGCTGGTGTTGGAAAGGTTCTGGGACCGGTATAATGATGATAAAACCTGGTCTCATGTAGGTTTCAAACTTTGAAAGGCCTACAAAGGCCTACAACCACTTGTGTGTGTTTTTCAGAGAAAAAAATTTGGGTCTGCCCCGGGCCCGCCCAAGGTCGGGCTGGCCACAAAAAGTCCGGGTCAGGGCCGGGTCAGACCCTTAAGCCAGCCACCTTTCAGTAGGGGTATGACCCGGCCCTGAAGTGTCAGGGCCGGCCCCGGGGCCGATTCAGGCCCGGCCTCGGCCACGCAATACTCAAGGATGCTGCCGGGCAGCATCGGGCAGGCCCTGGCTCGGACCATCCCCTTGAAAGCGTGTTTGAGAGCTCGGGAAGGATGCTTGATGACGTCAATTTTTCCAAAAGATTGCCTCCATAAAGATTTTTTGCGACGGCCCCGGCCCCGAGTAGCCCTGTACCGGGGCCTTTTTTGCTATTCCCAGGCTGGACTTGAGGCCCCGGGCTCGGCCTCGACCTCACCTAGAAAACGCTTGGGTACACTCGGCCGGTCAGGGCCAGGGCCGGGTCATAGCCCTACCTTTCAGCAATGCAAAACTTAATTTTGTCTTAGACCTTATAATTTGTGTCATTTGTCACTTGTTGTGGCCCATGTTGTTTTGGTGATTGTGGTGCACAAGCTACGGTGTTGTGCAGTGCTTGCGATTCCCTAGAGCTGGATATGACAGTGATCAGGTTGAAGAGAGTTGGGGATGGCATAGTGATGTTTTCACCATGTTCAGGCAACACCACCACCACTCATGCACTGACTGCATTTGGGTGTCTATTGGCCTGTCTGAGTATATCCATTGGGTCACTTAGCATGTGCACCCATGAAATACCTGTCTATACTGTGTTTTCTAGGCCATTGTCTTGAGTTGACATTTGCTAAGGCACTTTTGCCCAAATGTTGCCTTTTTGAATATTATGTTTGATTTCTGCTGAGGTACAGAGGTGGCAATAAGTATCATATCAGAATATACTTGCTTGAGTGGCTCATATCCTAATTGGCCCAGTGATCTCACTCTCTTTGATATGCTCTGTAGATGTAGTTTATAGGATTACAAAGAGATTGCTGCACATGTTACGGACATTGTGGTCATTCCATAACTGTTTAAGTAGCTGCTTTACTGAGCCAAGCTGGCTAAAACATTGAAAAAGTCTCACTTTTTGGTCTAACAGATATGAATCCTTCAACTCAACACAATGTTTTAAAACTCATCAATTTTCTTTCATTGTAACAGAGTTACCAATACATAATTATCCACTATGTATATGTTCTGGAAAGTGAGTATTGAACAAACCAAATGTATTGCTTTGATTTCAGTCATCTTCTTACTTGAAGACTCATCTACTCCAAAACAAAGATATTATGTATTATGAAATATGAAATCTTAATTATAATTATACTGTAATCAACTATCAACCAAATATGCGACCCCTCCCCCAAAAAATTATAATAATACATCTCGCCCCAATTCAAAAACAAGTCCTTTTCAAGGAAACCCTCAACAAGAAAACCCATCATCGCCCCATCACCCATCCCGAAAATGAAAAGGTCCATACATCTTAAAACAAATGAAAAAAACGCCAACAAGTATACAAGAAGAAAGAACATCACTCAGATTATCATTCGAACAGAAGAACAAAAACGACAGAAAAACGATTACAACAAGAAATAATTAAGTTGAATGGTATATGAATATAAGTACCATATGAATTTAAATCATTCCTAAAAAGAAAAGAAAATAATCAATCAATCAATCAATTTCCATATTTTAAAAATTTGATGAAATATAATCAATGCAATCTAAGCTTACAATTCTGAGTTACAATCCTTCTACGATTCATTTTTCTTTCCGTAACTCTATTTAAACTTTCGATCCAAGGATCTCTCCATCTGATTCTAGATTCATGATCACTCCAAACTTGTTCAACTTCATCAATCAAACTAGACCTCCACATTCTCATTGAAACAGCCACTTTGGCTCTCATCGCTGGTTCATTTAATTGTCCTCCTGTACTGGTTGGTATAGAAACTACTGTTCCTATTGGCATGAATGGTAAGGGCCCGGTTTGGCCTCCAAGTGATCGGATTAGATACGATGGTGGTGGTAATCCAGTTTGGTTTGTTGTCGTTGTTTCTCTTCCAAATGTGGGTGAAACCGGCCGATCTCGTTCCATTAAAAGCCTTTGTTGTATTCGTGAAAGACTGGGAGTTTCAGAAGTGGATCGATGGGTTGATGGAGATGATTGCGATTGTGATTGCGATTGCGATTGTGAAGGTGCAGAAGTAGATTTTGAGGCCCCACCGATCCGACTACCACCCATGATAGATGTGGGAGGAACCATGGGTGAAGGCGTAGGTAAGACAGGTCCGAGAAAACGTGAAACCACTGGTACTGATCCACAGGTGGTGATGAGACCTTTGACCAGTGGCTTAGGTGTAGGAGGTTTAGCCGCATTGGTGAGTTGAAAATGGAGATTGCCGTGTCGAGCTGCATTTGTAGTCGAACCTTCATTGCGACTACTCGAACCTGATGTTGAAGCAGCGGTAGAGTGATGACCATTGACAGGGTGAGTAATCTGGCCTGAGGATTGGTCGAGCTCACCAGCAAGCCAGCCGTGGGACTGCTTGGTGGGGTCCTCGGCCAGGGTACTAGAGGTAGTTGTTTCGCGTTCCTCAGTAGTGGTTGCCAAACTACCAACGAAGTTTTTGATACTTCCAAAGTAACCGCTTTTGGATCCAGATAAGACATGTGGATGTGGTTTCTTGTTTTTGTAATTGATCCGAGGGCTAAGGATTGAGTTCACAAATCCGGGCGAGTAGGGTTCGTTAAGATTTGTGACTTTTTTTAATCGATTCGCAAACTCGAGCCGCTCTTCAGTTGTTAGCCTCCCTGACATAGTTTCCGAAGGTTGCGAAGGTTGAGCTGCACTGATGGAAGCCTCAAGGTGTGAAGAACTTGAGGTAGCGCGAGAGGATGGAAGATCGCTTGGGTCACAGGTGGCTTTGCGCTCATCATAAAGGGTCGGGGAGGTAGACATCGCTAGATCTTCGATTGATGTGAGAGTGAGATTGTACTTGGTTTTGCTGGTGAGTGAGACAAAAGCTTCTGTCGTATCAATTTTAGGCTGTAAAACCAGTGATGCAGTACTACCGGCACGTTTGATCCCAAGTTTACTATTGGGTGGATCGCAACCAAGGTTCATGAGTGAGACCATGGATCGGTTGGAATGAATTGAAGTAGTTCTTGAAGCTCGTTTGGAATTCATTTGAACGACTCCTTTACCTTTAGAGTCATGTCTAGCGGTGGCATTACTTGCACTACTTGTGATCGATGAGGGTGGAGAGCTATTTCTCGGAACCGGCTTCTGGTCACGAGTTGAATGGGGGGGCTGATGGGCAGGTTCGATCACTTGGCGACGAGATCCCGCAATTACGCTCACGCTACCATTCTCATTGCTAGCTCGAGATCTCTCTAACCTCTGCACTCGTTCAATAGAATCTTGTACTCGGTTTCGGCTACGAGACCTGCCTCTTCCATCTGCTTCAGATTCATCCTCATTTGTGGCCTCTGTGGGAGATTGACTCGTGGTATTCAGATGACAGGGTAGTATGGAGTCGGGGTCGGATTGTGGAGATTGAGTGCGATCAACGGGTACACGGGAAGGCAATGGTGAAGCTGAAGGGTTTGAAGGCTCTGAGTTTTGGGCATAACCAGATGAGAGCGGATTGGGTAATTGAAATGCAAGATTGATTTGATCAAGAGCCGCAAGTTGAGGATTCGAATACTGAAGGATGGGTGGTTCGAAATTGGGAGGCTGTACAGCTGTAGGAGTTGCACATCTGGTGCTAGGTTCACTGACCCATTCCTCCTCTTGGCCGGGCTTTGTGCAAAGCTCGGATGGATGAGGGTTTAGGAAATCTTGAGATTGAGTCACCTCGTTCTCTTCTTCGTCTTCTTCACCATCCCCATCGAGAGCGCCTCTGAAAGCACCCTTCCTCGTCTGTCGGTTTCCTGATGTCGCTCCATTCGACTTTTTTCGGATTACAGAGACAGTTTGTTTGGCATTTGTGCTATCTTTCCGAGCAGGATATGAAGGTCGTTTTTTGTGAAGAGAAGCTTTAGATTTAACGGTAGAGAGGACAAGAGTTGATTGACTTCCGCCAGGTGAAGGTTCAGTGTTCAGTCGAGTAGTAGAAGTTAGACCGCTGACTATGTTAGTATGACTCGAGTGACGTTTTGAAAGTTGAGTGAGACGAGCAGAAGAATGATGTTTGTTGGGCATCTTCAATGGTAAAATGATATGTCGTCGATGTTGGGTGACTATATGCTGCCAGTGCTGCAGTGCTAGGACTCGATGTGAAAAGTTGAAAGCTTAAAACCCAAATCGGTCGGGTGAAATTGGAGGATCGATTGCTCATCGGACGGTACTTGTCCCGATACCTCAACAAACTCTATCGGGCCAGCTGGCATTGTATGCGGATCCGGATAATCGAAGAGATGGCATTCCTCAGGACAAATCCTGAGGAATGCCATTTCATCCACCAAATAAATAATGAAAATGAGCCTAACTGGTTCATATTTTCTCTGATCTTATTTTGATTCACGTTCAAAATCATCAAATAATGATAGTCCAGATTTTTTCCATGCAGCTAGCTTGAGTTTCTATGATTGCAAAGGCATGAATGGCAGGAAGTTCATAATACATGATATGCAACATACGCATGAGAACGATTAGTCTAACTACCGCAATATGTTTGCCATCTACCCCATGAAATCATCGATGGTCAAGATTAGTGCCATCGCACCCCGGCAAACTGCCTTCTCAAAATCAAATTGAATGGAAGACACGGAGCCATTGCCAGATAGGATGCAGGTACTTGCTACAGAGGACACTTCCGTGTTACAGTTTCTAACCAAGATCTGCTTCCTGCACAGGAGGAGGATCTGGAGCTGAAAGGTTGTTAGAATAGACAAACCTAAACACATTATACACATCCATCTCTTTTCAAATATGGTTAAGCAGGATGATGGCAATTGAGAAACATCAATATAATTGCTCACAAAGAATGCAGCTATATTATATACGAGGACAAATAATTTGTATCTTTCATAACAAAGCCAAACAAGCTCAAGATATAAGAAAGATGATGTTATAAAGATCTACCAAGAACCCAACCTTCAAACACTTTCTTCATCTAACCAAACCAACAAATCAGGAGTAAAATAACTCAAAACAAGTGTAGATCCAGCCCTCAACATTCCATTGATAGATTCAAAGACCATTGATTTCAAATCATAAATTCCTTGTTGAGCACCTGAATGAATCATAGCATATTCACCTGAAACTTGATAACATGCTAATGGATGATCTTGAGCGATTTGTCTTGCTTCTGAAATTATATCTAGATATGGTAAAGCTGGTTTGATCATGATTATATCGGCTCCTTCTGATACATCTCGAATCTATGAGATGACACAAAAAAACGATTCAGAAATTAGATCTTCCTTTCGGATGAGAAAGAAAAAAACAAAAGGAGGAAAGATGATTGACTATTGCTCGACGTGCTAATCCACGTGCATTTGGTGGAAGTTGATAACATTTACGATCACCAAAAGATGGAGCAGATCCAGCAGCTTCTCTGAAAACCAAGAAATCCCCCCAGAAAATATAATCATCAGCTCTTGACTGTAGAAGAAATAGATGATTCCAAAGGAAAAAGATCAACAAATCCAAAGATGACTATGACTATACCTAAAAGGACCATATAAACTAGAAGCGAATTTAGCAGAATAAGACATCAAACAACACTTATTCCCCAGCCCAGCCTGAATCAAAGCTTCTTTAATAGACCCGATCCTACCATCCATCATATCACTAGGAGCCACACAATCGGCTCCAGCCTTTGCATAATTCAAAGCGACTTGGGTGATCCGTTGAACCGAAAGATTTGTATCGATTTGAGCAGGTGTGTTGAATGTCATGGAGAATCCACAGTGTCCATGATCAGTATATTCACATAGACATACATCACAAGCTATAAAGAGTGAAGGGAATTTCGTTTTGAGTAATCGAATGGATTGGATCACTGGACCTGATGGATCATCAGCTGAACTACCTCTTTGATCCTAGACTAGACATTCATTTATCTTAGTTAACCTTCAAAATTATTTTTTATGATTGAAATTCCAAAACAAAAGAACTTTGGTAACTGACTTTTATACAATTCATGGGTACACCAAACAGAATGACCGATTTAAGACCTTTTTGAATTAATGGATTAAGAAAGTTTTCAAGTTTATTGATTCCCCATCTAATCCAATCCAAAGTTGATCATCAGAATAATCAGTGATGCAATGAAAATAAAGTTGTTTTTTGTTTCATTCGTTCGAATGGATTTTACTAACCTTTTTTGACCAGGTAAAGCGTTTATAGGAACTTCTGCATCTGGATCATCAGTAACAAAGATAGGATACATTAACATATCTTTAGTTAAAGATCTTTCAGCCTATTCATAGAAAAAACATAATCGTTTATCAGAAGTTGATAGAAAAGATGAGATTCAAATTTCGATGGTGGGATACTTACTTGAAGGTTTCGAGTCAAAGGATGACAATATCCACCTTGTAGAACACTTGTTGGTTTCATGTCGATGGAGATTTATTGAAGTTGAGTTGAAGGAGATGGAATGCTGTGCGATAAACAGTTGATCAAGACTTTGATGTTACTTTCCAAATCGACTTGTTGACCAAAACTGGTTTACAACTGACCGTTTGTATACAGTTTTTTGAACTCAATCAACTTTTCCACTTCTCTCAAGCTCGTCTCTTGATGACTCAGGAAGCTTGTTGTTTACCTGTTGACTGACTGATCAATGATGAATCAGAACACTCTTATGCGTCCCACAAATGGCTGACAAAGATCTACTGCTGTGACAAACGTTTAATCACAGCACTTGAATGCATGTCACCAATGAAATGATGTCATCTGAAGCTGATCTGACAGTCTGAAGAGCTCACTCTGAGGCTGACTCATCTGTCCTACTCTTGGCTAAGTCCCCATTCCTGAAACTGTTTGAAATGTGTTCATCTTCCTTCTTTTTCAAGTCTCTATATATATACTAAAAGACAAGAAAAATATGTATGTACTTCAACAGATGACTTATAAGTAGCATTATAATTCTTTTCTTTTATAATTGTCTATCAACATACAAATTCAGAAAAAACCAAAATAAATAAATCAAAAACGTACATCCCAAAGAACAAAGAAACCCACCTCATCAAGAAATTAATAAGAAAAAAAATTCATGAATAAAAGATTTACAATTTAAGAGATTATATATATAAAAAAGTAATCTTAATCCTTATTTAGAGAGAAACATCAAAACTTTCAAGAAAGTTCAAGAAAGTTCATCATCATCATCATCATCATCATCCCATTTCTTCATCATGTATACAGTCAGGTAAAGGTTGAAGTTCAATGACCATTTCAGTTTCTTTGTTTTCCTTAACTTCACATTCAAGATTTTCAACTTCATAAACCGATTCTTCTGGTTTAAATTTTTCACTTGATTCTATAGATAATTCAATTGAATCTGAATGATTTTCAATATTTTCAATAGGTGGTGTTGATACGGTAGAATGACGAGCAGTAGAAGATGTAGAAGAGTTGGATGGATCTGAACTAGGTGGTAAGAGAGCATAAGATGGATGTGATTGAACTAATGAAAGATAATAACGATTTAAAACTTCTCCTGTTGTCTATTTCGAAACAAGCAAAAAAAGAAAGTTAGTTAAAAACCCAAAATCAAAAAACTAGATTCAAAGTTAAGATCACTCAACTACAAGAGTATAATCAATTCCAATCAAAAACTCTCTTTCTAAAAGGTTCATTTCAATCAAACCGATCCCTCCCACTTTAGCATATCTAGAATTAGCAAAAAAACTATCACATAAAAACTTACAACAAACTGTAACAGAAGTAATACAAAACCTATGTACAGTTAATGAACAGATTGTAAAATTCGATAACTTTTCACAAATTCGATCTATATAAGGTAAAATGGATAAAAGACAAATCGGTTCGACATTTGTATATATTAATATCCTTTTTAAATAATCTTGTATGGTGATCGAAGGTGGTGATCTTGAATGAAAACGTGTTAATGAACTTGATGTGAGTGGGATTCGATCGTTGTGTGAGATCAGTCTATCTAACATTGATCCTATATATCATTAATCAAATATGAGAAAATCATTCATGGTTAGTCACTTTCTTTGAAAATCTCGTACATGATTTCTAACCAAAGATACGCCTTCCACCCACCCTACTCCTCGTCCGGGCTCAGAGCTTAAGAAAGTCAACATCAGACCAAAGTTGCTGAACATACCAAGCAGAAAGAATCCCACTTGAAATGCCTCAACAAACTACCGTCTGTTTTTGACTTTCTTAGCTTTATAAAACTACTGCCCAAATCCAGAGAGAGAGAGAGATAGGTATAAAAGAAATCACCCAAAAAGGAGCTTAAGATTGAAAAGATATCAAGTCACTAACCAATCAATTCGATCAAATCATCTGTTTCACATCTTTCGAATTTAGATGGAACTTCCTTTAATCCTTGATTTGTGATCCTAGTATGAATAATTTGAATTCGACGAGGTAAGGTAGGTCGATCGATAATAGAATCGATAGTTTGAGTTTGATTTTGATGTTGAGTTGGAAGGTGATTAAATGGAGAATGAGGAAGTTGAGGAGAATAGGTAGGTGTAGTTGATTTGATTATGATTTGATTTGATTTGTTGAGATTGTTAGTCATGAATGAAGAATTGTACTGTTGTAGTTAATATTGAGGTTCAGTTGAGTTGGTTAATAGGTTGAATATATCGATCGCTTGTTTGGATTCTGGTGATTGTTGTTGAAATGATCGATCAGATTTCACAGCTTCCAACAAGTCTTTCAAGTTTCAACAGGAATCACAGCAACGTGACATGTCTGATTTAAGACTTAACCTGTATTCAAAACATAAACGATAATCGATCTGATTTGACCCACATCTTGGCCTTAAAGACTGTCCACTTTTATATCCCCATTTTGTTTCGCCTGGGTTTGCGGCCCCAATTGCCAGCTTACTAAAACTCACTCCCAACCTGATCTCGAATCTCTTCAGGTTAGTACTTCATCATCCATCTCTGATCATTGTCATTCTTATACATGTTCCTTTGGCGGGAGGAAAACATAACCGCAAATTTTATCTGCGAGTCATCAAATACGATGACAATGAGTCTACCTAATTCATAGTTACTCTGATCTTATTAGAATCATGTCCTTTATTTCAATTTCATCACATTTGAATCATTAAGAAAAAAGATTTTAAACTGATTGTTTTAAATTGCTTCATTTTTTTTAGATTCGAAGATCGATAAGTCGATTGATTCGTTGTATTTAAGGTCTTGATTTTTGTTAATCGTTTTCTTTGCAACATAGCTATCAATCATTCATCATCATAACCACTTCTTGGTCTGTCTGTAGCCTGAGCTGTAGGATTTTCTTGCTATTGATCGTATCACAATAGTTCACAATAGTTGAATGCAACCAGAATGCCATTACATCTTCCAAGGTCCTACCTCCCAACTTGAAACCTTATTTCTTGAAGAGAAATCATTTTGAGTGAGGATGAATTGAGTGATACTGCTACTCTCACATATTGAAAAATGATTCAAAAAATATTGTTGGTGCCACTTGAAAGTCTGCAAAATGTGATTTCACTCTGAGGTATCAAATCACAGCTGAGAAATTTTGGGATGCTTGAAGTGATGACGTTTGAACCAAGCCATAAAGTATATGAAGCCCATTGTAAAATACCAATTAAGCACTATTTTCCACATGGTCATCTTTCTGCTCACGATCTTTCACCTCTCATGAAGGCTCCCTGGTCTCCTTCCAATGCTTTGGGAGGCTTTGAGTGCTCTTTCTGGTTCTGCATATTGAGGTGGATACAAGAACAAAGCTATCCAAAGCATCTTTGTGAGAAACTATCAGAATCTTCCACCGATTTACATCATGCCACACGGTGGCTCACTTGAGATTGAAAAATCCGAACAAAGGAAGCAAACGCAGAAAAGCAAAGACAAAGTAAAAATAAAGCTAAATCGCCAAATCGCCAAAAGATGATATCAACCAGATCAAGAATTCATAAATCACTTGGAACTAAGACTATTGCTGTAGACTTGAAAACAAAAGAACAAAAGTACGAAGTCTCAATTGAAACTACGTGAATGCGATCCATGAGGGAAGACAACTCGGACAATTAGGATGTTATGTTGAATTATTACTTTTTTCATGGACCACTATAGGCCTTACTTTCTTCGACAATTTGTTGTGCTATAGCTTCAGGACACTCTGTTGGATCAGGTCCACCCGTAGTCCCCAACAGGAACCCAGAGTTGAATGCGTCTTTAGGCCAATCGGCGGCAGCCTGAATTCAAAAATTTCAGCTACATTATCAACCTTCAACCAGAGTGTAGCTGCTTCACTTACCGTGATTGGACTGACATAGCCTTCACAATAATGACCGAAAAGGCCATCATATGATGCCTCAACTTCTTCCAAGGTGTACGGCGGGCTATGTCATGACAAGTAAGTCAGTCACCCCATAGGTTCTAGACTAGATAATATGAATCAACTTACGCCGCCTCCGGACTAATCAGGTTATGGTAGCTTCCAGTAAGCGGCATCATCTATTGAGAAGGAAATCGTTTTGACGGTCAAACCCAGGTGTATGAACTGTAAGACTCGGTTCTTGAATCAACTTACTGCGCATGATCCAGCAATTGCACAGCCTGAATTTGGAAGGGCCGCGTAGATATACTCGAGAGCACTACGTTGTGCCATAAGGGTGTGAAATGAAGATGAGTAAGTAGGCAAAGACAAAATGATCTGTAAATACTCGCGCGTTGGAATTTGAAAAATATGAAGACTGACTTGAAGCAATCTGCTGGGTCACCAACTCTGTCACCATTTCCGTCGCAAGTCATACCATTTGTTGGGATGAACACGAGGAAAAACTGAGCAATAACAATGAGTAAACGAAACTGATTCATGATGATTGCTTAGAGAAGAAGTAGAAGCGATCAGGATTTTTTGAAACTTTACAAAACTTGAAGGCGGAAGAAGGCATGGTTGTTATATAGTCCCAGAAAAGCCTTGACACGAGCGTCCTTTAAGTTTTATGAAGCCCTCTTTCTCACTCAGCACGAAATCAATGTATTGACGAGTTTCATTTGAGTTTACCGATCTCGATGCATTCATCAATTTCTCTTTACTTTTCATTTCTTGACATTTTTGACTCAGTTCATCAAGAAATTATAGTTACAGTCAAACCGGAAAACCTTGCCACCAATTCTCCGCCAATTTGCTCGAGTTTTGCGGGCAAAATCGGTCAAGCTTTTCCGGTTTGACCAGTTCATCAAGAAATTATAGTTATCAGTCACGCTCACACCCGGTGACTTTTTCGTGGCCCAGGGCGTGGCCAGGGCCATGGCCTATGCCACGCATGGCCTTAAAAACATGGCACAATTCAACAATTTATACACGTTATAATGCCACCATCCTTCATGATATTTGCCGCAAAGACGGAACGAATCCAACTCGCCCTCATTGAAGCACAGAGAACACAAAATCACACAGAAGGGCCAGGGCATGGCCGAGGCCGAGGCCCCGGCCCTTGCCCTGAGCCCTGCCGTGGCGCCACGAGGCATCGGGGCATCGGGTGTGAGCGTGAGTTATCAGCTAACCCGACAAACTCCGCCCTCCCTTCCCACCCTAGTCAGCAATCATTTCCTTTTGTTAAAAGTTGGCAAGTGTCTGAAAGAAAATTTTATGAAAATTCACAATCATCATTCGAAAAAAGTCATGTATGTTGGTTTTCATCAAATACACATATATAAGATTTGTTTGGTTTGAGAAGAAATGTGATGATTGCTGGGAGCCGATTGAGGCCAATTCCCTTTCCCTCTACCTCCTAACATCCCGCGAAGAGTCCTTGATGCTAAGAGCTATTGTAGGCTCCTTTTCATCTCATTTGTATGTGAATCTTCATATTTTCACATCCTAGCAAGAGCTGGAATGTCTCTTTTGGAACAGTCCAGTGGAGTGCGCGTGTCAAAAGAGGGTTTCAGCTGGTTTGAGATTTCAACCCTCGCATCTCTCGACAATGCGATCGCAACGTGTTCATCTAGGTTCATCTTCAATAAAACGGAGTACAAATGCAATGATGCAATCTAGATGCGACTTCTTGACATATATACACACAATAAAAATATCGACTCGGAGAATGAAGCGGTCACTCCAGTTACTCTAAAACGAGCGTGACGAGGGCCACAGCTTGACATACTCTACTCTGTGTGAGCGTCGACATGCATTATTTATATGCAAAGATATGTAGAACGGACGTCCAAGTGAAGATTGTGTGCTACTCAATGACCAAGTCGATTTTTTCAAAATTGTCAGCTCAATTATGACATACGGCGACTTGGGTAGCAAGCCTATACCGACTTCTTTTCCAATATTGTGGAAATCATGGAGGAGTGGTTTCCAAGAGAGTCCTACATCAAACTCATGTGGAATCACATCCTTCACCCAAGGTTGATAGCACCGAGGCCAACAACACATAACTCTATTTGTGTCAGTGTACAGATAAAGCAACAACAAATACCAGAACAATCAACGTAACAACAAGCGATCCAACAATCAAAAAAATAACAGTCAATACATGAATGACAATTTCTCTTATTTTGATAATTCCAATAAACTTCATCAACGTATCCCTCCGACTGATTTTGATATAGGCAACCATTACAATCAATCTCAACAATGCTCACAGTTTCACTCCCAACTATAACTCTCAAACTTGTAATCATCAAACTAATATAACAACTCAAATGTCCTATTGGGTCATAAGAGATCATATCATGTTGGGTGCTTTGATATCATTTATGCCATCAAAGGTTCTATTATTCAAATCGACAACACTATTTCTGTGATGATGAATCTCGGGAAGATTAGGCTTCGAGTTGCAACTTAAACTTGATAAGTTGAGCTCGAGTGCATATACAAAACCAAACATGTGTAAGAAAGATCTAATCCTACGAGACTTTGAAGCTGAATTACATTATATTTTTTTCTCTGACGGATATTGAGAGTGGCTTAAAACTGCATAAGTCTATGTACCCTATTCTATACCAGCTAGTTTATTTTGGGTGCACTTAAGTGTGCATTATTAGTGAGGCAGAGTGAAGAGGCAGTCACCAGAAGAAACTAAAAGACACTTATTATGCAGTGGTGCATCTTCATCCGAGCTTGAAGTAAAAGTTCTGCGGCCTGCGCTTTTGCCGAGTCATAGAGTCAGAGCGCATGGAAGCCTTCATCGTGAAAGAAATCACATTAAATATAGGTGATGATGTTGAGCAATTTTTTGTACCTTGAGTCGTGGAATAGCGCCAGGAAGTCCACGAAGATGTACCCACGTTGTTCAACAACAAGATTAGAGAATATTTTGGCGAAGTCGGGATTGGTATCAGCGATTTCCGAGCAAAAGAAAGGTGTTCAATACTGTTCGGGCAAGGTGATATATTAATATGAATCTTCAGGTGATGAATACTCGAAGGAAAAGTGAAAAGGCTCACGATAAAATGAGATTGATATGCCGGAGGATTTGGGAATCGATTGAATTGGATGTCTTAAAATCCTATACAAGGATAGTGGCACATCCAAGATATTTGATTGTCGTACCATCATGGATTGTGATACTCCGGCCGACTATATTTGTCTTGCCTTTAGCAGGAAAAAGTGACAAAGTGTGATCGACAAAAGACCGTTTGTTTATCTTGACTCCTTTGAGTGGTTTGTGATCTTTTGACAAGTCTACGAGTTTTGCTCCCAAGCCTGAACAATCTTTGGTTGCTGGTTTTTCATGAATGTGATAGTTGATATCGTCTTTGGCCTTAAATTTTTGATCCAACCCTTCTACAGCTAAATCAATACTGACGCCTGCGTTATTAGAAAGTTGTACGAATTTGAAGTGGCCTTCGATCTTCAATCCGTTTAGACCAGTAATGATGCCCCCTGCCAGTGTTTTGGCCTGTGTCTCAACGGTTTGGGCTTGTTGCGATGTGCTGGGCCG